CGACCAAAGAAGGAAGAACCATGAGAAACGGCCCAGAACCCGAGAAATGGGACCCCTTCCTTCCCCGCTGATTTGCGCATTGATGCGACTCTTATCGCTGTGCCCTCCTCAACATCACGCTCTCTCTGCTATCTAATCAATCCCACGTATAGATCTGCGGCGAGTGATCAGCTGGTCGGTGGGCGGAGATCGCCAGACCCGCCAACTTTGAGGCATAATAGGTCGCCGAGGTCAAATTTTTCGATGCGAATTGCGCATCAGTTCGCACCCTCAGGAGGTCCGTGGGTTACTCAACTAGGTGAATTACTTCTTCCTCGACCTCCATTCTAATCGTAAAATCCTCCTTTAATCACTTCCTTTCGGCTACAACGCACTCGACCCTTTCCAGAATCGTTGAGATCTTTGAATTTGGGCCTGGTTCATTCGGTGGAGTGTCGATAATGTTGCGCCACTTCCATTGTCAGTCTCGGCCTATATTCGCCTCCACATCAATCTAATGAAAAAAAAAAATTACAAATGACAATTGATACTTGAATATTAGTAATATTTAATTTTTCCAAATAGTAATAAATTTTTGGTACCTCTACGCGTTGGTCACATAGCTAACTTCTGTAGACGGTATTCTCTTTGAATGGCATAATTTCAGGATTCATTAGATGAAATAATAATAAAACTCGGCGCTAGGCTGCATCAAGTACATGTAATGGTTAAACAGAAAGGGATTTCAATGGCCAGAATTTGAATTGAAAATATCCAAAACTCGCTGCTATTGACATTATTGATGAGGTAGTAATGAATATACGAATCATCTAGCAGGATGGAAAGCAGCAAAGGGCGAATAGTTGATTTATGATGATGGCATTACTGGCACATAAAATAAGATGCAGGTATCAGGTTGTGAAATATGGTAATATGCGCGATACATGATGGTGATATATAGCGATATTTAATGGTAATTGATGATTACATATCAATAAACTCTAATAAGATTTCTCAGATTAAGCTGTGCTTGTAATTTATATAAAGGACAGTTGGAAACAATCGAGTTCATCCCAGCATATGCAAAAATTTGAGGGATCAATCATGGTTGAAAGGTGTTCCCCCCTTTGCCTTGTGAAGTCGTAAGGGCACGCCTATTCCAAAGATAGAGCAGTAGTGAGACCTATTTCCGAATGTGGAAATTGACTAGAACATTCCCAGATCAAAATTAAAGAATATTAAAATACTTGTAGATATTGAATATTAAATATTTGTAGATATTTTTGTAAATATTTCTCTGTGGAGCGTATAAGAGTATTTGGAACTCCATATTGAAAAACAAAACCAAATTCACATACCTTATGTGATTTGATGCTCCATAAAATAAAAGGATAAAGCATTTGCCGTTGATCAATCCCTTTTTGGGATGCGGCACGCATTCTACTTCCATTTGTACATTCGTAGTGGCGTTTGAATGCGATGTGGCCTATACAATGACTTGCGGGGGCCAGCCGATGTACAAGTCAGTGTTTTTTCCTCCAGACAAGTCTGGTACCAATTAACCGACCCCGGAGGGATGGAAGGCTTGGTTGGCCCGGCGACTCACGACCCAGGATTTGATCCCCGGACCGCTCGCGTGGTAAGCGTGCCACTTGCCACTACACCACTTCCGCCCATCCCATTAGAATAGAATAGTTTTTCGAATTTAAATCATTGTTGAAATATTTTTCGAAAGACTGTTGTTCATTTTCTTGTGCGATTTCATACGGCGCAAATCAACGGGCTAGGAAGGGGTCCCATTTCTTGGGTTTTCGACCGTTTCTCTGGTCCCTTCTTCATTCCTGCTCCACTGACCACTTCTACCCTTGGGGCTAACATTTCATCGTGAATTCTGCCTTCAAGACAACCATTTCCTTTCAAATTTTGCTTTGTACCCGCCATTTATAGTGTGAGGTTGTTGGCATCGAGGAATCGTTTACAAATACAACAGCGAAACGCACTGGTCTGTGCAGCCTACGGGAGTGGTGTCAATTATTTCCAAAATATTCATATTCTACCCAAAACAGCAGAAGTACAATAATTGCTGCAAGCCACCATGAGCTTTTTTGAAGTGACTACGAAATTTGCAACCTTTCGAGGAAATCTTGAAAAATAGGAAGTTGTGGCAATTTTCACAACTTTCTTGCTCGTTTCATTGTTGTCGAAAAGATTATAAGTTTCACTGTAGTGCTATTTCTGTGCTTACAAATGGAATGAATTTTTCCACAGGGAAAAAATTCGGGGCTAAAAGGGGTAGAATGTAAAACAACCGTAAGGGTAGAACATTACACGATCGTGGCAATCTAATTTCCCACCATTAGGCAAGGATCACTTTCGATTGAGTGTTTCCAAACTTCGGTGCCTCAGTAAAACGTAATGCAACAACGGGTGGGCAACGTTGCGACACGGGTTGTGGGGTCTCTCGTTTTGCATGCTATTTCGCACGACTGACGCAACATCGCTGGTTGGCAAACTGTTCCTGGGAGTGACTGGCGATATCTCTAACATATTTTCAATTCTGAAGTATTTTGATGGATCCTTCATCTATTACAGGGCGATTGGTTCGTTTACCCGCGCTTACTCGAATTACTACGATTTAACATTCAGAGCACTGGGCAGAAATCAGAGACAGTAAACGTCCGCAAGGACCATCTGTCTCCTCTGTTTTAATTAGACAGTCGGATTCCCCGAGTCCGTACCAGTTCCAGTTCGACTGTTTTGATGGTCGGTCAGGATACTAAGCCCGAAGACAAAGCACACACCTGAAAACGTCCACAAGGCAGTCTTGTCACTAGTCCAGCATCAGCGTAAGCATCAGCCAGCCACGGACGAAACCGCACAAGCATCAGTTAACAGGCCAACCGACCCAGTCACTGGAGCCAATCCTTTTCCCGAAGTTACGGATCTAATTTGCCGACTTCCCTTACCTACATTATTCTATCGACTAGAGGCTGTTCACCTTGGAGACCTGATGCGGATATCGGTACGATGCAGCACAGATTAATAGCCTTCCTTGGTTTTTCAAGGGCCGTCCAGAGAACACGAGACATCACAGAAACCGCGATGCTTTACGGAAACAACGTCCCTATCTACGGCTGAGCCGATTCTCGCTGCCTTTGTGAAACACCTGTAACCGCCAAGTTTTGGGATCATGTGACTTCTGTGCACGGTACCTTTAAAAAATGTCCGCTAATTCTTTGGAAAAACTTCTGACTTCTTTGAGGAAGTCACGCTGATATCTCCCTATACATAGATCCTTCGAATTCCCCAACAAAGATGGGAAGGGTAAACGGTCTTGACTGTAAAACGGTCTAGTTGATCAGTCCCAGTCTGAGAAAGGAGCGAAACGAGCCATTTTAATTATTTCTCGTATCAAGGTTTTTTCTTTCTTAATTGTTCACGTGGTGGTGCATCTTTGGCTGAAACTTCTGGGAATTGTCACCTGGCACATTTCTGAAGATTCTGATGAAACAACGGTCTATTGCTAGCATATATTTTTCCCTGTCCTTTTTTTTCTTAAGCTTCTGAAACGTTCTAGTTTTAGAAGGTACATAAAAGCAATTTGTAGTTACAGCGCTGTCATGAAAGCTCAGTTGGTCCAGTTACCAAAATAAAGTAATTTAAGAAATGCGTTAAATAAAAACAAGTCAAAAATAGTTTTTTGATCAGTAATTCTTTTTTAATTTATCTTATTTTATTATTTTTACATTTGATTTTATTCTTATCGTTTTGTATTCGTCATCTCTCGTCCAACTTCGCCGCTTCGCCTAGCACTTCTCGGCTTGCTTAACCCTCTGCTGTTCTGACATCGGTGGAGAAGCAGTTTTTCACGTCTGCTGGTTGCAGCTGACCCAATTGTTACTCAACGATCAATTGGTCCCCTCCAACCAGCTAACGAGAAAATAGCTCAGCTCTCCATTAGCCCACCACTACGCTGTTCATCCCTGGGATGATGCCCCTTCCTGGCTTTCCGTGGCTACTTTTCGCCGTGATCACTCGGATCTCGCAGTGTTGACATGCCGATGAGACAATGATGGGGACACGACGACGACGGCGAGCAATGAAATGCATCGAGTGGACGTGGCTGGCTGCCTGCTCTCCAGGGATTTCTACTTCTGGTAATGAATTGGGGAACAAGCACTAATCGAAACTTTCGCAAGGAATACTTTCTTGCTGGAAAATTCGATTTTCAATAGGAAAAACTCAACTCGCCTTGGAATGTTGAAATATTTGGAACTCTGTACCTTTTCTTTTCACCCTAACTATTAATGCACATTCTGGTGGTGATATAAGAATATTGTAGTTTCTGAATTGGTAGGAATTCGATTAGATGCTATCCAACAGGGTGTTCAAAGGAAATCAAATCGCCCTTCGAGAGCAAATGCGTACCGCTGCGAGTACAAATGGCGCAGGTGCTAAGTTTTCGATTGTTATTACTTTATGTTCAAATTTCGGCATTTCAGGGACTTTTTACAGGTGTGAAGGTCTTCCAGCAGGATCGTATGGAGTATGAATGGCAGCAATATCTCTTGCTAGAAGGTTTAACACAAAGCCGCGGTGATTTGATTATGCCTGAGTAAAGTAGAGATTTATTTGGGAACCATCCAGCCATGGTTAGGTCCAGTCGATTTATGGATACCCACGGTGAAACACTTTGTTAAATTTCGTTTACACAGGGGTTCAAATTGATTACGCCAGCAACAGATAAAAAGGTAAATAGTATTCGCGCGACGTGGATATCACTTTTTTTCTGGATGGCGCCACACACTTTGAAGAAAAACTGCCCGTTTCTCATTGTGCCTGGCACTGTACGCCATGGCGCAGGATTGTACCGTGAATGGACGTTAGTGCTTGGCCGTTGCGGATTCACATGTACGTAAGTTCAAAGGAAGGTCCAACATGGAACCTTTCACATTTACGCTTTCAAGTCCTTTTCACGTGTTGGCTTTACAACACCAACAGCTGTGACAGTTTTACGGCGGGAATTCAAATGTCTCACTTTTTGTTTGGATTTTAATCGAAACCAGTGCTTATTTTTCGTTTGATTTGCTGTCCTCGTAAAAGCAAGGGGGCCAAAGGAAATTTCTGGTGAGGATTGGGCAAGGTTCATCCGTGAACGATTCCTTCAACTACTGTTCAGAAGCATAGAGGTATTTTGAGTAAGACTTGTTTTGTATTTATATTGATTTTCGTAGCCGGTGGATGTACAAGCCATTGTTTCCATCCTTATAAGCAAGTCTGGTACCATTTGATTGATCCCATTAGAATGAACGTTTGAGTACTCTGAACTGCCAAATCCCCGATTTTATCTCTTGATCATGTACATGGCCACTTATGTAGAATTCCTATTAAACAGGCAAAGTTCCAGGCGCCAAGAAAACCCATGGCTGTCTGGCCTAGGTTTCATAGCGTTTCGAAATCTAATGCTTTTTCCTGCACAATGAATATTTGATAGAATAGTTTGGACGAATCACATTCAAAATACGTCCTCCTATCGGAGACCATGTAGATGAAAGCGTTCCTGCAGGTTTGGATGATTTTTATTCCTTGAAATTAGGTTATTTAAAGTTTATTGGTGCTGCTGTACTTTTGAAAAGAAACGGCGCAGGCTGCAATCTTTGAAAATGGAAATGAGGGATTTTATTGTGGCGTTCCCAAACCATCAGTTGAACTCAGCCGCCCGGAACGCACAATTGTTATGGATGTGACCAAGCAGCGATAGGTGTTTATGTCGAGCTTTCAGACTGAGATCAGATCAGACTTTGAAAATCGGGAAAAAAGCAGCCGGTGAGACCACTCCATAGACAACTTGATTCCTCATTTTCGGGGAAGATTTTTGCTCCTTTCAGTCATTATCGACCATTCCTTACCTCTTCAGCACCATTCACCTGTATCCGAGCGGTGATGATGTAGCGGCAGATGGCGTTTATATGATGCGCGTGGTCACCGGCTCATCCCCCAGCTCGGATCTCGCCAATGCCAACCAAGCCTTTCGTTTGCCCGGGGTGGTTGAACATTTGGTGAGGGTCTGTGTGCACAAACTCGTGTAGATATATGTGATCATGTCAAATATCTACGACGTTTTCGTTGCTTTTTTTCGTTGATTTCGCCGCTTGCCTTGC